GTCTGAATAATAGCAACGACAAGCATAATTTAGAAAAATTTATTATTTCGTTTTGAATGTCACGAGCAGAAACACGCCTCAAATCTCTACGGAACTGTCGGTTTCCATTAATTCACTATCTTCTTTATATATCTTCTATATAAAAAAGCGGCCTACGCCCCCTTTCAGAGCTCGCTCGATTATCGTAATTTTTGTATGGTAACTGAAATAGGGCACATTTCCACTGTTTTTTTGTTTTTATGGAATTTTGTGTCTGAATTTAAAAACGCACATACTTAATAAATGAAATTAGTCAATTATTACCTTCCATAAAACGAGGTATGCAATTATCATCTAATGAGGTCATTAGAGAATTAATAACAAAAGAAACGTTATGTACGTTATGTAACATTGTCTTTTATTCAATTCTTGCTTCCTTAACGGGTGCTCTCAGCTGGTTACTTTTAAACCTTAGTACTGTCGGGTGCCTTTGAAAATTAATGGATATACAATGTAGTGCGATTCACTAAAAAAGTCTACACTGAACGTGGCGGATTATGGAAAAGTTATTTCATAACATTATAAACACTTATTTTTATTAGATCGCACCTATGGAAGATTTACAAAGAATGAATATTTCTAATTGCCTTTTTAATTTGTGTTGATGCGAAAAAAAATAAAAAGCTTTTCCCCCCACTCTTTTGTCACTTCACTTAATACTGAAAATCCTAAATCCAATATTGTATAAAGCATTTCGTCCTTATCTGTCAGAATATTTAACTTATACATAAATATTAGACATGTACACATTTAATTTTGGTCCTGATATAGAGACTGTGACCTTACCCTCTCCCGTTCATTTATAATACTTAACCTACCCAGTGATATGCACAGGAGGGTAAGGATGAGTTCAAGCCCATGCTTTATGCTCCAAAGTGAACCTTTTTTTTCTCTGTCATAAAAATGATTAATTACGAAAAGATACACCTGATTCCACACCTTGCTTGTTGCGAAATATTAGGAAAAAAGAAAGAAAAATATTTCAGCGTTGAAATGAATGGCACATAGAGACTTATAGGTCTTTACAGTGAAATAAATAATGTTGATATGCTAGTTTTAGTACGCAATAATTCACTGTCTAGTTTCAGACTGTAAAAGTGTTTATAAAAGCAAATGAATAGGAATAAAAGTGGATCTGTTTGCTTTCATGGTTATGTGTACCAGAGGCAATCCAGAGCCCTAAACATCTCTTCTACCCCCACCCCAAAAAAAACACGCTACCTTTACGATATTTGAAAACCGTCCATTTTGTCAACGATACCCTTTGCTCATTACTGAACCTAGATCTACCAATTTCACATTGATTCCGTTCGATACTCTACGTCCTCCCTTTGGTTACGTGTTTGAAAATATTCACTTAACATTTATGCTGTTCGTCAGTCTGTCCTTATATTTTAGAGAGAAAAAAAAAACTTGCTTTAACCAATGTCATAATGCTGGAGATAAGATTATTTTTTATCTCAGTACATTTCAACCTGCCACTATTTATTGAATCTTATCATGAGATGCAGGATGATGCTTATTATGTTTTTATAAAACACTAAACAATTGTTTAGAAAACTTCAGTACCAAACTAATCAGCTCTAGCTGGACTTATATTGAATACAAAAAGCCAGTATTCAAGTGAATGTCAAAATAATTTAACCACCTAAAGTATTTCTGATAAAGGTGAAAAGTGTAATCTCGGAATATCGCCAGTGATGTCCAGTAAGCCTTATAATATTTTCGTACAAAAAGATCATTTTAAAAATACAACTTACCTAGACCCATCATGAAATTTTACAGTTCAATCATCTAGTTATGTTGCCGCAATCAAAATAAGCACAATTTTACCTAAATTATACACCAAGGTATAGTAGTTCGTGAATTTACTAATATTCAATTGGTGGTAAGCTGACCAACTTGCAATCATTAGAAGGAACTAGTTTTCTATTTGAGATACAGAGCGCGGCCTTAACAATGCATGCAGTGAGCAACGTTAATTCAGTGAAAAATGGAAGTCAAGAAGCAATGCAAAAGTACACCTGGTATAAGATGGACTGTTCTGCTGGTTAGCCTGCCAAACTGGTCTGATAAGTCCTAAAAAAACGTCCAATTTCCGTTTTGGCGACACGAAAAACAGTCCTGGTGAAACCTTCTATTACATTGAAGTACAAGAATTTGGGTCTTCGGACAGTACAAGTATACGACATAAAAACACACCATTTGTTTCCTGTCTCTTCAAAGTTAACTTGTGTTTAGTTTCCAAGAATAAGGAGTGGCTCTGGTTCTGTCCTTGGCTTTCATCTCAAGTTTCTGATAGCTACCTGTATGAACTTACTAGTTATAAATATAGCTACCTGTATGAACTTACTCGTTATAAATATACACACACCTGAAGTCTAATACTATGAATAATTATTATCATTATTTATTGTTATTTTCTTTCCTCAGGTACACGAACAGCACATTTAAAATACAAAATATGTTATTAAGAAGAGCAAATAAAACTTCTTTCTCGTAATCTTACAACACTATTTGGTTTAAATAAAACCTTGCATAATTTTTGTATCAAAATATTTGACATTGTGAATATCTATTACGACCCCCGTCCCCCAAGGAAACAACCAAATACCTTTCCTCTGATGATTTTCAGTGATTATAAAAAGTATTAATAATAACTTAATCATGTGTTACAATAGATCGTTTCCATTACATTAGTGTCACCGGTATCATCTAAGAACACAAGAATGTTATCCGAGATCCTGGCCCATACTATAAGTACGTATATCTTGAATTCACCAATATAATGATATACATTTTCATTATAAGTAACAATGTTATCATCATCATTATACATAGTTTCTCTCTACACTGACAACATACGCTTTCGACGATAAAATCTGGAGTGATGTTTATTTAGATACAGATACGCGCTTTTTTGTTTAATGTATTATCTGTATTTGTCTTTTGTATTTATAACACAGCTACTAAGGCTATCTGCCGCCGCACCTAATTCTGAACTACTGACCAGAGGAAAGGAAGGCAGCCATTCAATATCCACATTAAGCGATTGAGTGTTACTTTTAAATGCACCAACCATTTAAAGTGTTGGCGAAAATGTTATCACTTGGATTCGAAGTCGGCTCGCCAACTGTGGAATCTAGAGCTCTACCACAGGGCCAAAACGCGCCACTACTGTATTATTCCAGCCATGGGAATAGAATAAAAAAAAATTAAACACAGAACTAAGCAGCTTAAGTCCTGCAGCAAAACTAGAACAGGCTGAGCTTCATTAAATCAGGTATAAAAAAAAAAGTTATTAGTCCAATATCCCCCGACAGATGTTAGCCGCTCATACCAAATACAGTTATAAACAGAGCTTTGCAAGTACGAATAAGCATTCGCAACCATGAATATCATAAAATATTGTCATAACAATATGGAAGGGGGGGGGTCTTTATGTCGTAACTTTTATTAAAACTTACGTTAATACTTTTAAAACCGTCATTGCAATATAGAAACATGCATTACAAGTTCCCCGCTGACGCTAGTCTCGGCAGAGTAGAAAAAAAAAAGCGCGTTTCTTCTGAATTCGTTTGCCAACCCAAAAGTAAGCAACATTAGGTTTGCTGTCGGAATGGTTCCTGTGATGAGCTTAAATGCCTGTAGTTAGGGAAATCCGATTACAGGATTACAAGTCTTTCAAATACACACACACACACACACACACAAAAGGTGTCTTAATCACCTGACTGAAACACTGCACGAAGTCTCCAATTTTCATTGGAATTCTTTCTGAAATTGGTTTGAAAACTTAAAAGTTTGCACGACATCAGCTGTTCATGACGTCAGAAAAAGAATGCTTGTAACATCAAAATCAATTTCCTCGGTATAAATGTTAAAACTAAAATATCAGGAGAGATGGTGGGTGGGTGGGGGGAGATAAGTTTATATCTCCAGAACCAAATATTATTATTAGAATAACAGGCTCATTGTTCTTTGATATTTAATGCTGTGCTAGTGAACCAGATTTACAGCTTTTGTTGTTACAGGTATGGAAGTTCCTAATTAATTAAATACGTATTAGTTATTAACATTCCCAAATAAATAAGTGAAATGTGCCAAGGTCTCTCTAATTATCTTCCAATTCAATATCTATGTCCAATCGCCATGTTTATTTCAATACTTATAGGTTTGTAGTGTATATAATTTTAACAGGCTGGCGTTTGGCTCTCATACAAGTTCTGCAGACGAAATATGAGAATACATAAAATGACTTTCTTCACTACAGCACTGTCGCCATCTATAGGTGTTAATGTATTTTACTGAAATAATGTGCATCCAGAAAGAAAAGCACTAAAATAATTAATAATTGAAAAGTAGGTGTGCTTTGTTTGTTTTCTACCTTGTTTTGTAATTAAGCACAAAGCTACACGATGGGCTATCTCTGCTATACCCACCACGTGTATCGAAACCCGGTTTCTAGCATTGCAAGTCCGCTAACATACCGCTGTGCCACCAGGGGTAAGTAGATGTGTAAACCATTCACTGCAATCACTCATGACTTTCATCGTAAATGTGTTGAGTATTCGTGGTATTTAAACTATTAATGTTTTTTTTTTAAATTTATTTACTAGCTGACGTGCACGTTCAATGCACGGGGAAGACATGGGAGAAGGGGGCAGATCTGAATATTTACCCCACTATGTCACTCAGCGGGAAGAGTATATGGCAGGTTTGGTGACAATGGGTACAGCGGTTCGCCAGTTATAGGCGACCACGTACGCACACACACTGATGTTTGACAAATAGTTGTTTATGATATATACGACATATTTTGTATTTAATAACTATTAGAATCGTATATTAAAATTATTTTGAGGTTTTATTGATACGACAAAAAACTAAAGATTACTTTCAAATATATTTTGCCAGTAGTTAAGTTTAAATATTATCTTTAGTATGAACTGGATACTTACGGAAAATAATTTATTGGTAGTCTGGACACCTGTTCTTTACCCTCTTTTTCAGGTCTCATACAAAACCTGCTGTTTAACACAGTAGGAGCTGAAGTCCTGTGGGTACTTTGATACTGGGAGTCATTGTGCACAGAAGACAAAGATGTTCGCATGCGTATTTCCCCACCTTTGCCCAGCCAGTCTGCATTTATGTAATCCGGATCTGCTTTTTGGGCCCCAGTGTCACATCTCGAATCTTTGGACAGTTTGCGTGCTGATTTTAGATAATACGTTGGGTAAAGTTGTGGTAGCACGTCCTCAGAGTTGTTTACTTGAACGTGCTGCGATGGCAGTGACGTTAAACTGGAGTTAAGACTGTGCTGAGCAGAGACATCTGTATTCCGAAGAGGGAGTTTGCTGATATCACAATAGTCACTTAAAGATCGGGAATGTTTGTCAGAAAGAAGAGGGCGCTCCAAGTCTTGGCTGAACCTAGGTTGTGACTGCAAAAATTCCTTACGGCTAGTCGAGAGCCTCAGATCTCTCTGGGAGCCCCATTCCTTCTGTAGTGAATTATCTTTATTACCAACGTGAAACTGGGAATTAGACCTACACAGCCGAGACCATCTTCCCTCAGTATCTTTGTTTTTACTACTTATCGTTTTTGCTCGTAAAGACTGACGAAGTGATGAAGCTTTCTTCCAAAGACTAAGGTGCTCATTTTTACGGTGGTTCCCAGAAATATCAGATTCATTTTCATTTTCACCGCTAATACTATTACTTCTGTAAATGAAATAAAAAATAATATATTGTAAGAGAAGTATCTTCAGTTAAAGTAACAATACTTAAGGTTTACGTACTTCAATAGCAACATTCGAACAAGAATATTATGGTAAATTAGTTGAAATTTACATTTTTTTTTCAAAAATTTAATCAGTTTAAAAGACACGATTCGGATACAGCTAAAAGAAATAAACTTCTTTCACTATGTATTTGACACACAAAAGTTTGGTAATACCTGCTTAACGTAAGCTTTTGTTTTGAGAATTAATATAATACTCGAAAAATGGAATGAAATACCTCTACATGCTAAGAATAAAAAGTGTTATGTGTATCTATCGTATTTCACGAGAAACGGCCAGCATACTAATTTAATAAATACCTCTACATGCTAAGAATAAAAAGTGTTATGTGTATCTATCGTATTTCACGAGAAACGGCCAGCATACTAATTTAATGAAATTTCCATTTTAATTGTTTCTAACTAGTTTTGTTGTACATGTGGTAATCTAAATAACCCATTTAATCAAGGCTGATCTTAAATCACAAAACTGGCAAATGTTAACGTCTAATTAAAAACAAAGACTATATCCAATGAATATGAGCTGACCATGACTGACTTTCACTGCCCCTACGAGGTTGAGTCAGTTCTAATGTATGTGGCGACTGGCGCCAATAATGCACGTGTCCGATCATTATGGTCGTTTTCAGTATCTCTAAACAACAAGGGCAAACGAATATTTTTATCTACCCCTCTTTTTTTTTTTTTTACAAACTCAAGCTACTATAAACAAGAATCCGGTCTAAGGCGTGTCACAGCCTAGAATGACGTTGCCTATCTATGAACATTCAATTGTTTTCTACTGCCCTTCATCACTTTCTTGACGTAAAGAACATAAAAAGACCTGAAACAACATACCTAAGTCACCAATCCTTTTACAGAAGAATGCTAAATATTCTGAATGGAAGACAATGTGTTTTGTTCCTTTAACTTATCAAAACGGTCAAAAATTCTATACTGCCGATTTTTGTTTTCCTTACCACCCTCTATGGAATGTAATATTATAGTAAATTCGATAACAAACAAACTTACGAGCCGTTTGGTGGGCATTTGAGAAAATATTTCTTCATTAATGAACTGTATGAATAAAACGAAAAATATTCAACATGGAAAATAATGATATATGATTTTTGATACAAAAAACTGCTTTTGTTCTAATGGGTTACACATGATTTTAAATCTGGGAATTTTTCTTCAAGAATTTGCGTGGATTGTTGAATTTCTGGGCTTGGTTGTAGATACAATCGTCTATTAATTAACATACGTTTTGAGACAACATGGGACCTATTGGTCCATCTCGGCTGTTCCATCCTCTAAACAAAAAATATTAGTTATAAAATTATTCAAAAAATCTTAGAGCCAGCCCTTACCATTCATATACTTATCAAGCTTTCACTTAAATTTACTGCCTTCACAACAAGGTATGTGAAGGCATTATTGACAGCCAGCGTTTTCTTTTTAGATACATTTGTATGGCGATGGCCGGTTTTTTAAAATTTCTGGGTTATGATACTTAAAGCAGCTATTTTTCGTATTCTTGGTTCATTTAAAACTGCAATTTGGGAAGTAAGCCAGCATTATTGACATAGAATTTTAATAAAGTATAATAACGGAAATGATGAATAATGGGGGATTTATCACTAGGCGTAAAAAGCGCGCACAAAATACCCCCAATAGAGGGGGAGCTAAAACGCTAAATTAAAAATGTTCATATACATATATTTTATAAACATGTATACGACATATATTAATTTATTATTGTTTATTTTTCACTTATAACACAAAGAGCGATACATGTACCTTCACATCAAAGTATGTGATTTAGATTTCGTCTAAACTATACCTTAACCCTTACACTTCTGATAAACAAGTTGTCATTCATTGAAATATCTTGTACCGAAACATCTCAGTATAGCTTATTTTTCATTCCCTATATCAAATTTAAGAGCACCCTTTGGGCAAATTAAAAATTATATATATATTTGAAAGAATTTCTACCATTTAAATAATTCAAAACTTATTTTGACATTTCAATAATCTATATACAACACTAGGCCTGCCAATCCTCCCGGATTCACTGGAAGTATCTCGGAATCGTACATATTCTCCAGGCTCCCGGAAGCCTTGCCAAATATTCCGGATTCTCTAAAAAAAAATCTTGCTTACAAATCAAAACACTTTTGTGTCCCATGAAAGAAAGCAATAAGTGGTCAAAGAAACATAATGTATCAGACAGATAAGCTAAAATGATGTTTTTTAATTCTAGTACATGTACTGAAAATAAATATAAATTTAAATAAATATTCCTTACAAAACATTATAATGTTTAATTTGGTATTTGTGTACATATTTTTTGAATTAAAGTTTATTAATTTGGAAATCGTTTTCTTTAAATACATGAATTGTTACCAACCTATCACTTGCATGTTATCAGTCCTTATATGCCTACAATATTTAAATATGGTATCTCCCGGAAATGTATTTTAAAAGTTGGCAAGACGGTACAACACACATGACGTTACGCGCGGGAAGGGCACCAGATTTGAGCAAGCAATCACAAGTTGCAACATGCTTTTTGTCACCCTGTGGCTGTTTTGCCTTGCAAGTGACCCAATTAACTAGCATCCATAAGTGGGAAAAACTGCTACAAGCAAATATAGGTATTTAATGATTTTTTTAAAGTTTTTTTTATATTCTTTTAAATCACATTGAGCAGTGAGAAAAAAGAAAAGCGTAGGCCAGTCCGATGTGGAAAAAAGAAAAGCCTACAGAAGCAGAGTGCTGCAATGTAAAGGGATTATTACCTCATTTGAGAAAACAACCAACTATGAATATGCAGGTGAATCTTGTGATGATGAAATAGATACAGCCTCATCTAGCAGTAACGATCCAATCCGAAATGAAGTTGAAAAATATTCTAGTCCAGCTATAAACTACTCAAAATATATTGCTTTATGGCCAGGTATAATTACCAACAAAGTTACTGACTATTAAATAAATAAATCCGGAAATATTGGAGGCATGAGCGAATTAAAATATTTCGTTGTTGCTGTTGTTTGTTATTAAGCACAAACAATACAAAGGGCTAGCTGTGCTCTGCCCACCACGGGTATCGAAACCTGGTTTCTAGCAGTAAAGTCCGCAGATATACCACTGTGCCACTGGTGGCTTAAAATGTGTCGAAATCGCAACAGGAGTTTTTAAAATTTTTCAAGAAGCGTTTTTGTCGTCTAAAGTCGAAAAATAAAAACGTGGATGGCTTGTCTGTAGCACTACAAGCAAATGTGTGTATTGTTACGTTTGCAAGTTATTCCCAAATGAGAGGATAGTTCTTGCAAGTAAATTGATTACAAGTTTTTGTGACTGGAAAAACGTACACAGCATATTAATGGAGCATGAAATATCTAAAGACCACATTAAAGGTTGAACTGGCAATTCTGGCTCTTCGCGACTTTACACAATATAATCAATGTATGGTCTTGTTGAATGTAATTATATGTATTCTCACTTTATCCTGACCTGGACGGCGCCAGCTATCATTTGTTATTCGTTTTCAGGGCGTTGCACTAACTTCGGTCATATTGACTCTGAAATATTGACAAAAGAATTGAAAATAACAGTGATGTTATTAAACATTTTAAAATATACTTTGATTTTATAATAGATAGCAAAGAAAAACATGAATGTTTGAAAATTTATCTGATTTATATATGATGGATATACACAGAGTCATTCAAAGAGGAAACAACACAATTTTTATAATTTGGCGAAGAAGTTTGTTGTTCGAGTGACATGTATAATTTACCATCAAATGAATTGCATTCGACAATTTAAAACTGTCCGGAGAAGCTTTTTAAGCTCTTTCCAATTAGCAATGCTGCGGGTAAAAGACCATTTTCTGTGTTAAAAGGAGTGAAGAACTATTTACGGAACACGACATCCCAAGGATCGTTTATCTTCTCTTTCACTTCTGAACATAGAAAATGAAGAATTAAAGCACACGAATTACAAAAAAAATTACTGACCAGTTTGCAACTGAAAAAAGTCAGGAAAGTTTTAATATGAGGTAGGTGTTTATTCTTTATTTATTTATTGGAGTTATATTATTATTATACATATCTAATACAATAATAGTTAATAATTCATATCATTAGGGGCCCAAACTTGAGGTTGCGCCTTGGACCCTAGAATAGGTAAATCCGCCACTGACGATGAAACTCCTCCTTAATTTTGTCCCACAGTAAAATTAATCAACAAAACTTGAACAAGCCTTCTTTATCTGAAGAGTTACTAATATCTTGCTCCTAGATGTTATTTGATTTTAAAAGGTTTGTTTGCTTGTAATTAAGCACAAAGCTACACAATGGGCTATCTGTGCTCTGCCAACCACGGGTATCGAAACCCGGATTCTAGGGTTGTAACTCCGCATACATACCGCTGTGCCACTAGGGGGCGATTTTAAAAGGAGACGGTGAAATGCTTATGTATCAAATGTTGGCAGGTGATAATTGATAAGTTAAACGATAGTATTAAACAATTGTGGAATAGCTAAATACATAATCTTATAAAAAAAAAAAGATATTCACATGCTGGAGCCATTTGTAGGAAACACAATATTAGTAGACAGTGAAATGTGTGCCTACTTCATGTTTTCAATGCGTTGTTTCCTTTCAGTGACTCAAGCAGAAGAGATATTAAAATCCAATATATTTTCCAAACTAGCAGATGTACCAGTGCGATGCACAATGAGAGGTCTATGAAAGTTTTTCCGAAATAAATCAGTGACAATACAAAGTTTCAAAGTACATAAAATAAAATTATTCATGTCCACTGGGCTTAATTATTTAAATAACATTTAATTTTCTAAGATATTTTTCCCCATCAAAAAGCAATAAGTTACATGCGACTTTAAAAACATCTTGCTTAATATAAATGTGTCTAT